GATTGGCACCTTTGTAGACAATGATTGTGATAACCATGTCCACACGTGAGTATATACACTACAATTATTCAAATTAGTATAGTTAGTGTGGTCACAATATACGTAATTGCAAAAAAATGTTTGTATATAGATGGTTTCCTAGAAGTAATAAATCCTCTTTGAAGGTGATGTTCGGTTATTTCGTAAACTAAAGAATGCAATCAACATCATTAGATGAATTTTTAGTAATCAAAGGATACTGATTTCGTGTTTGATATAGTGGTAGTACTTTTATCGAATCTAAATAGAATGCAAGGTTGAACTTAAAAGAGTTAATTTAACTAACTGGTTTGTAAAAAAATTACCTCAACATCTTCAATCAGAATCAAAGTGAAGATTTTCACTTTAACCGCAATATAAACCTCCCCAAGCATGTCATTCTTCAAGAAGGTGCAAAAGTGATGTTCCTCAACAACAAGTTTATTGATTATGGAATTTGCAGTGGGACAATTGGCGTGATAATCAAAATGACTGATCCTCAAAATGTTGAAGTTACCTTTCTGACAACCCGCAACATCACAAAGATGACTGTGCAGAAAGAAACCATTTACTTTAATATCAATGGAAGCCTTGCATCAAGGCAACAATTTCCTCTTCATAATGCCTTCGCTCTCTCTTACCATGCACAAAACCCAAGGATTGATATTACCTCACAAAACTGTCAACATTGATGAAAATATGTTTGCGCCTGGTCAAGTATACGTGTAGCTACGACAGAGTGACTTCTTGAGATTTTGGATTTCAGCTTTTCTTGTATAATAAAAATTGATCAATCCGTGATTTGAGAATACACAGGATTGAAAGGCGTGACCAGAGAGGTCTTGGCCAAATTAAAAAGTAGCAAAAGCAATTAATTAATATTTAATTAATATATCGAATTTAAAAATTTCATAAAGCTCACTGCGCGCTCCCTGGTAAAATCTTGTTAATAGTTTCAATCAGTTCATTTGTTGTCATATTGCACAATTGACGTTTTTATTAAAGTAACATCATTACTTTATCTACTCGAAGCAAGTCATCATCATTCATATTATCTATCATATACAAATTCTTCTTCTGAGCTTCGTATTTTCAGTTTGAGCAGATTTGTAAAATTGAAAATTGCTCTTCGCCTTTACATCCAGCACCCTTTGCATGATGATTTAAGTAAACTTCATCGCAGCATCTATTAAACTTTATTGTTTTACCACAAATGCAAGCAATTTTCTTAGCATGAACAATATGATCAAATTGATCAAATTGATCAAATTTCAAAGTATTTTTACCTAACATAGTAATAATCAATCCAATTTACTTGATGAGCCAATTCATTTTCTAATCTTAAACAAACCTACGAGTTACCTATTACTATATATATTACTCTGGCCCTCGGAAAAGTATCCTTTTTACAATCAATTAATTTAAACATCGTCCTCTTTTTTAGTGGTGTCAAAATAACCTTGGTTAATTTACAAGTTTATCTGCAAGATCCAATTGCTGCAGAACGTTTTATTTAGTGATGAAGTACCAGTACAAAGAACTAACTGACGAAGAAATCGTTAGAGCAGTGGGGCCAAATCCTGAGGTTGACAATTCTGATGAAGAGAAAGAAGTGGGAACAGTATATAGTTATCAGATAGTTTAGACTTGGTTACCATGAATTTCATCTCGTTGTAAGGGACTTTTCAATTTATTTATAATAAGTTCGCTACAAAGAGATTTTTCTTTATAATGGAACCGAGTCTTCACTATGATTGTTGTGGTATACCATGCCTACTACATTATCACTAGTACGTGTCCAATTTTTAAGAAATAATCTACAAAGTCTTTGTAAAATATTCAGGCTGTTCTATATTAAAAACTATTATGTGTGACATAGGTCAATTGGGAAGGATGTAGTGATGACGATATATTAATATTAATATATGTACAGTAACGCCTAATCCATGTGGTCGCTAATAGCATAATGACGATTTTGTGTGTGAAAATAAAAATCTATACTAATACGTGAAAATTAAATTAGCCAATCAAAAAGGAATTTCTACCCGTGTTTATGTAAAAGAATCATCATATTAAAAACCCATTTATGGAAGGGTAAAAAAATTATGTAAATAATATTAAATATTGTTTGTTTACGTTCCATCCTAAAAAGGAATAGATAGTTTTTTATCGTATATATATTAATATTTTTTATTTTATTTTTTTTTTAAAAAAAAAGGAAAATAATTTTTTTTTTAATGAATTCATTATTTTTATGATTCATTTAAATTAATTTTGTTTTTCTTACTTGGACAACAACCAACGACGACGAAGACGACGACGATTACGACGACAAAGGCGTCAACAACAATATTAAAAAACATACGGAGTGCAGGTGGGGTTACAGATTCTGTCGTCCCAACTGAAAAAAAAGGCTAACACCTCACCACTGCGTCCCGGAGGGTATGTGGAAGGAAGAAGCGCTGGTATGACGGGGACTTTGCGCCTGTTTGCCTTCCATCCGAGCCTCTTTGATTAGGTAAGTGTGTATTTGACATCAAAGAGAAGAGCTCGAGCGAAGCCTTATCTACAGGTGAGGGTGGCCTCGGTGTAGTGTCAGTCAGACAATTTAAGTAATTCTGACACCTTATGATAAATATCAGAATTATAATTTTTAAATTTACTATCCTATTTACGGGAGTGATAGAATTACCTTTTATATGTTGAGCATGGTCCTTGTTATTAGAAAACATGGGTGATGCAATTGTTTGTTGTACCAGAATTAAAAAAAAAAATAATGATGATTGATATGATTGATGAAGGAATCGTGGCTAGTAGTAATACGCGCATATCTCTCAAGGCAAGTATGATTATTGCATTGCGGGTTTGGTATATTCTTACAATACATGAATTAATAAAAAATCTTTAATAATAATATTCAAAAAAAGGAAGTCGGAAGTCGGAACGGTCATATTTTATTTCAAAATGGTGAATTTTATAAATTTTTAATTTATATATAACTTAAGATCATTATCATGTAATAATAATAAATTAATAAACTAAAAGAAATAAATGAATAAATGAATTATTTGTTGTAATATTTAGTCGTTCATCGTCTAATGATTTCACTTTTCTTTTCAATGATTTCGATGTTTTAAATTCTTTATAATCTAATTGACTTTATTATGAATTTTTGGAAATATATCAATTGATTTATTTTAGAAACGTGGAAATTTTTGTTACTCGCACACATCTGGATAAATAATCTATCAAATTTAGAAGCTTGGAAACCTTTGTTACTTGCGGATAAGTAATCTATCAATTTTTGGTTTATTAATTTATTTTAGAAACTTTGGAAAAGGTTGCTACTCGAAAACATTTGTTTGTATTGGTTTATTTTAGAAAATTTGTTGCTTGTAAATCTGTTTGTTTTGTTGCTTATTTTAATGCTGACTGATCTTTGATTAAAAATAATCTATTTGAAAAGTTTCATTACCAAAAATAACTTTCTCAACTCCATTTTCTTTTTGAATATTTACCCACTCATCTCAAGCTCAAAAATGTTGTTTTAAGGTCATTAAAGTGCCAGCAATTTCTGGTCTTTCACTTTCCATGACATTGTTAACTGCATTTAAAGTTCTTAGTTTAAAGTTTTCTTCTTTATCGGCTAATTGCTTTCTTAATGTTTCAATTTTGTTTAATAGTTTTTGGTTTTTTTCTTGTTGTTCTGTTATTATGTTTACCATGATTTTCTTCTTTTAATAATACTTATATCCTTTTAGAGGGTATATTAAGTATATAATTATTTTAGCATTTTTTTTTTACTAAAAGCTAGCAATATTTATTATTAAACTTAATGACAGTAATAACAAATGAAATACTGGAGGTGATTTTATTCTAAATATTTTATTCATTTCCAGTATAGATTGGTCTTGGGCAAGTAATATCTTTGTATTCATCTTTCACAAATGGGCGAATATTATGATAAAGATATTCTTGTCTTTTGTAATCCAAAGAAGGTGGTGTTAACACTAAAATAGATAAAGCTCTAATTTCTTCCAAAATATCTACTTTCTTGGTTTTCATTAAACTGAATTCAGTAAAAGGTCCATTAGCAACTTCTTGAACCTTCACTATACCAAAATTAGATGCTTCAAAAAGAAAATGTTGATATTTTTGTATATTTGGTAATTTCTTAAAATAAATTCCAAAAATAGATTTGATATCCAAATATTGAAAACCTTTTCCACCTTTACAACATTGAACTTTATTCAATCCTGTTGGACTAGACTTTTTTACTACCTCAACCACATGATCCAGACAATCTACTCTTGTTTTTCTATAGTTTTTTTATTAAACCAAAGCTACCATCACATTTGAATTTGGTATGTCCTGGAATCATAAAATTCAATTCAATACTTTTATAATAACCACAGATTACTAGATACAAATAAAATCAAATTGTTACATTATTTTTATTTTGTCCACCAGCATTATCACAAGTAATCTTTAAATGTTTTTCACCTTTATTCAATTTTTTAATTCCACTAAAAATCATGCTAAGAGTGCCATTTGGTCCTTTTCCTATAGTTTCATTTTCATTAAGAACATAATTAATTTGTTCCCTTATTGCTTCATCTTGAATACCAAATAAATGAACTTTACATGGACTAAGATAATAAATTTTACTTACTTGCTGATCTAAATGTGGTATATGAACATTTTGAGCTCAATCATAACTATAATGAGCAGTAGCATCAATACTGCAATATAGTATTTTACCCTTTGAATAATTTTGATCAACTAATTTTCTTTGTTCTTCTGCTAATTTGGTATTTTTATTATAATAATTTCTTTCTACTTTGGCCTTGGATAAATGTGCTTTAAATCTTTTGAGCAAATCTTTAGCTTCTTCCTCTTGATGAACATTATAATGCAAACCATCTCTAAAATGTTGACAAGTATCACACAAATCAGTCCTGGGACTCATAATTTGAATCTCTGGTGTCAGTTGATGTCATAATTTTCTGAAGGCATCATATTTTAAGGATTTCAAATTATTACCTTCTTCTAAACCAGCAAGAAAATCTCTATGTCAACTTTGTATCCAATCTTTGCTCTTGAGAAAGGATCCATTTTTTCATTTCGTGCTTTATTGGTTGAGATTGCTTGTATCTCACCCCTATATTTGAAAAAAATAGTCATTTGAAATCCCTTCAAAAGAAAATATTGGAGATAATGTAGGTGATTTATTTACCAAGAGTTTTTTATATTTGGCGATTTAAAAATACCAGAAAACAATGGAAATGTTGTCGACATTTTCAATTCTTCTTCAGTGCACATTTGAATTAAATTTGGTATCTTGTCCTTCCTGGATAATAGTCCAAAATAAGAACACCATATTAAATAATAAAAAATTTTAGATTATATATATTTAATACACATACATAAATTGAATGTTCACATCCAATTTGTTGAGAACTTCATCTTTATCAATATTTATGCAATTATTATCAAAAAATTTTTGGATGTTGTTTGGAGCAGGGTTGGCAAATGTGTGGTCCATTGATGGTCTATTGGTGGTCCATTGGGTCCATTAGTGTAACAGTTTAACCATATTTAGTATTTTATTAATGGCAATGGACCATCTGTTCTCAATGGACCAGTCAATTTGCCAACCCTGGTTTGGAGTAATAGTGTTTTTATTCCATCTAATTTGGTTAGAAAAGTCCTGTGATAATTTTTGGATGACTTCATCTTTTATTTCAAAGTCATTAAGATTTTCTCTAGTCAAGTCTAATATTCCCCAGTATGCTGGACTAGAATTAGCAAATAAATAAAATGTGTAATATATTAATGAACAGGAAGCTAATCATAAATACTTTAAAATGATGATGCTAAACTTACATTAAGATTTTACGAGTTTTTGGTATCTTTTGCTGATATTTATGAAATGATTCAATTGTATTTACATCAAGAAGCTCCTATTGATGATGGGATAATGTGTTTAATGAATACCCTTTGGTACTTTATTATGTTCCAAATGTTTGTTCATATATCAAGCTTTACCTCTGAATGTCTATCATTATTAGCATTTCCAATTGGTAATTGAATTTCATTTGATAGTGAATTTTCATCAACATTTTCGATTATTGATTCTTGATTGGATTCATTAAATAAATATCCTTGCAAGTCATCATTATCTATTGCACATTCAATGTTTATATTATTGATATCCTTTTTATATTACATTACAGAAAAGTAAAATTCAATTTCACTTTTAAAAAACTCTAAGATCAACTTATTTGAATATTGAATTACTTACAGAATCTACTGTAAAAGTAGTGGCAAAGGAGCTTGCTTCTTTGTTAAGATTTTCTTTATTTCCAACTTTGTTCTAGTGTATCCACAACAGAACATGTTTATTATTTGTTGCCTAAGCAATTTCGAAAATCATTTGTAATCTCACCTTTTTCTTCATCAGAGTCTTAGCACTTTTGGTATCCATTGTTTCCTCTGTTTTCTCAAAGTTGTACAACTATTGTCAATGTTATGGATCATACTATCTCCAGTTGCAAGAACCTGTTGCCTCACCTAAGCAACGAAAATGCTACTCAGTATTTTTTTTTTTTTTTGTCTTATGAATTTTCAGATTAGAGACCCACCTGTAGGTGCTGAATATTCACATGTACATATTTCAAATCTTTTTTCAAATTATTATTTGATGTAGTAAAATTCTTGGCAAACAAAACACAGAATTAGTAATATTCTAAAAAAATTTTTCTACAATAATGATATAGTGCAAAGAAGCATTGAATTAAGAGCACATCCTTGTTAGACTAGCAGTCCCAGCTTGCACTAAGTGTCGAACTAGCAGTTCATCACTGGAGACTAGCAGTCCCAGCTTGCACTAAGCGTCGAACTAGCAGTTCATCACTGTTCAGATTAAGCTTTTAACCCTTGCTAAATGATTTACAAAACTTATCCTATTTTCATTCAAATCCCATTCCATTAAACGAACATACCTTCCAGTCATCAAGAATTTCTTGAGCTTTTTTTTTGCTCGCCATGCCAAAATCAGAATTAGAATTTGCCACCTCTTGAAGATCCTTCTTTACGCGATCTAGTATTTGTTTTAAATCCTTTTGTCCAACTTTTTCACGGTAATATTCTATTATATTAATGTACGTCCAACTTTCAATTGCAGTGACATAATAAAAAGCCTTAAGAGCAGGTGCAGACATGTTTTTAAAATTTTTAAAAAACAAAATTTTAATTATTGTTATTAGTCGTGTGACATGTCCTAAAAATCAAGGGGCAAGTTTATTTTCCGAAAAATTTCCGGTGATCTACACAATTT